GCCCAAGAGCGTTCCAAGGTGGAGATGGCCTCAAGACGAGTCCAAGGGAGCCCAAGACGGCAAAAGAGGCCTTCAAGAGGACCTTTCAGAGGGCCTCAGGAGGCCAAGAACATTGATTTTCTGTAGGTTTTTATGGTTGTTAGGGTGGACAGATCGCCCCAAGACGGCCCACGCGGCCCCCAAGAGGGCCCCAACACGATCCAAGAGTGTCCCAAGAGAGGCCCAGTGGGGCCCAAGAGAGCCGTAAGAGGGCCCCGAGATGCCCCAAAGAGGGCCCAAGGGTCACCAAGAGGGCACCAATAGGGCACCAAGGTGGCCCAAGCCCCCCAAGACGGCCCCAGAGGCCCCTGGGACGGCCCAAGAGCCTTCCAAGAGCACCCCCCGACGGCGTGAGGCGGCAAACAACACTGTTACTCCTTATGGTTTTACTTGTTTGTTGGGTTCTCCCTTTTTCGGGCCCAGGCAGGCCGAACACGGCTGTGAGAGCCTCCGAGATCGCCCCAAGACGGCCCAGGAGGCCCCCACGAGGGCCCTAAGACTGCCCAAGAGCTTAAGGTAGCCACAGAGGAACCCAAGAGCGGTCGAAGAGGGCCCCAAGAGGCTCCCACGAAAGCTTTACAGGGCCATAGGATGCCCCAAAGAGTTCTTAATTGTGTTTTGGGTTCTCGCCTTTTCGGGCCCAGGCAGGCCGAACACGGCTCTGAGGGCCTCCGAGATTGCCCCAAGACGGGAGAGGAGGCTCCCAAGAAAGCTCGAAGACGGCCCAAGAGGGCCCAAGGACGGCTACAGAGAACCCCAAGACGACTCAAGAGGGGCCCAAGAGAGCCCGAAAGGCTGCCACGATAGCCTCCAGAGTGCCGAAGGAGGGCCCCAAGACGAGCCAAGCGCCCCAACACGGCCCAAGAAGGCACCATAACGGCCCAACAGGGCCCCAAAACACTCGAAAGGCCCCCAATAGGCGTTGCTGCGGCTGCTTTGCAAGCATGCCTGCGCTGCATGTGGATCTAATGGCGTGGACGTGGCCTGGGCGATGTGGGATCCTGGAGCACTGCCTCCACACTGCGGCCCGCTCCCTCTCAGAATCTGTTGCGCGCTGTGCACCGGGGCAGGCGCCGCTGCTCCTGCCGCGTCCGGCTCGGTTTTGCCATCTGGGGTTCAGTCGGGCGTGCGTGCCCCCCTGCAGGGGGATTTTCGACGAGAAGTAAAGATGCTCAACAGCATATTTCCCAATAGTCAAAAACATGTTCAAACAATAGTCCCCCGACCACTTTTTGACTATTTTGTTTTGATGTTCCTCCTGTAGGGGGACGGGCCCGACTTCAGTCTGGGGTCGCTCCGAGGGGCCCTTCGGCCACGCCCCGCGCGCCGCGCGGCCCCTCCTGGCGGAAGGGGGCCCTTCGGAGGCCCGGCGGGAGTTGTGTGCAGGTCGGCGGCGGGGTTCCGCGTCGCGGCGGGAGCGGGGGCGGGAGCGGGGGGCGGGGAGGCGGCGGAGCGACCAGGCGCCAGCGGGTGGTGCCAAAGCCAGGTCGGAGTTGTCCCTCTGCAGGGGGAAAATCTTCAAAGACAGTCAAAAAATAGTCGGGGGACGATTTTTGGAGCATTGTTTGGCCACGTTTGAGCATTCTTGGGCTATCTTGAGCCACCCTGACGCGTCGATTAGTGAATTGTCCGTTTTCGGTTCTCGAGAGGGCGCCGCGGTCGTCGTTTTCCAGGCTTCTGCCCGCCAGGTTTGGGCCCGAGGTCGATTTCACTGGACCACGTTTTACTCTAAAGAGGGTTCTGTCCATCCCCGAAAAGCCAGGTCGGGGCTGTCCCTCTGCAGGGGGAATCTTCAAAAGTAGTAGAAATCAGTCGGGGGACGATTTTTTGAGCACTGTTTGGCCATGTTTGAGCATTCTTGGGCTACTTTTATTTTTTCATCGAGAATCCCCCTGTAGGGGGACAGACCCGACTTAATGCTAAAGGTACCCCTGGCCCAAGGTGCCCCCAGCTTGTCGCTGGATTTTGGAGCCCCTGGGGGGCCCCAAGAAGCCCCCAAGACGGTCCAAGAGGGCCCCGAGTCGCCGAATGGTTGGTCCAAGACGCTCAAGGTGGCCCCCAGACAGCTCAATAGTGCTCCCAAGAGGCCCAAAGTGGCCTCCGAGAGGCCTCCCAAGAGGGCCCCAAGAGGCCAATGCACTGATTTTCCCAAGATATTTGAAAGACGTTGGCGTTCTCGTCTTTTCGGCTTCCCGACGCTCCCAGACGGCGCCCTCTGGGCCTCGTGAAGGGGTGCTCTGGAGGCTGCGGGGGCCGCCTTGGAAATCCTGGGGGCACCGTGGGCCAGGGACACTTCCAGCGACGCACGACGCAAGAGCTCGAGGAAGACACAAGGCCATAAACATAACCTTTTGGCGCTCCGCGCGGATTTTTTGGATCTGTCCTGAGCCCCCCCGGGCGGCGCCTCTGGCGCGCGGGGCCGCAGCGCAGATCCAAGAAATCCGCGCGGATCGTCGAAAGTTGTTGTTTCTCTCTCTCTCTCTCTCTCTACATATATATATATGTTTCTTCTTCTTCTAAGGTTGACGCTTCGCCGGAGTGACCCTTGGTGCAGGGCTCGCCTGGAACGGTATTCTGACGATTTGGAGGACTGTTTTCGTTTTGGTTCCGTTTTCGACAAAGGCGGACCGACGACAAAACGACGATAAACCAAAGCAAACCGAAAGCGGAAAACAGTGTTTCGGCCGAGCCTTGCTGTGGTGCGGGCCCACAGGGGTCCCCCCTGGTAGTTGCTTGCGCGCGTGGACCTGACCCCCCCGTTGGCCCCGAAAGCCGCGCAAGGGCAATCTTGCCCAAGGTGATTCCTGCGTGTAGGCGACGAGGGTAGAAGTGCGGCGTCAGCATTTTTGGGTTCAGGGTTTCCGGAATCGGCAATTTGTTTCGGTATAGTAGTCCTAGATGGCCGTCGTGGTAATTGTCATAGGGCTGGGCTGGGTGCTTGCACTCTCAGCGCTAAGCCTACGCCTTACGGCCGCCACACTCTTTCTGCATCCCTGAGCAGTAGTCCCTCGAACGTGTCCTCTAAGCACTAGGACCATGGAGCGAAGCGCAGATCTACCTAGGCGAGCATGGAGGCCCTTGCGCAGAGGCCGTCGGACTTTTCTTTCGAAGGTTCTGAGTTCACCAGTCGACCTCGACAAGACGTTTATGCATTGTGGACTGGACAATATTACAACGAGTTGGTGTGATCAAATTTTTGAGCTGGCCCCAGCCCCCTCCAAACAACAATATAATCCAGGAAACGCTACAGGTCCGCAAAATGTAAGGATCGAAATGAACGCACGGGTCCAGAACCCGTGAGGGTCCAGCAACGGCGCCCGAGTCCTTACGTGGCCAGGGTGGTTGTTGAAGCGGCCGTAGGTGATGTAGTCCAAGTAGTAGTCGTAATCGGCATCATGGTTTTCAGATCGCATTGGTAGTGTTAGACGTAGTGTTCATAGCATTAGTAATCATTAATGATGGAGGGTCGGATTCGTTTTAGAGGCAAGCAGTGGACAGTCCGTCGGGCAATCGGTTTCGTGGGGGCTGGGGCAGAAGCAGCGCCATCGTTATTCCAGGCACATGTAACGGTCACGGTCTGAGTTGTGCTCGTCGTATCATGTGCACCTCTGTTCACAGTGGGAGTTGCACAATTCATAGTCGTCTGTGATTACTTCCCATGTCGTGCCCTCCGGAAGGCTCATCAGTCTCGCTGTAATTGCAGACTCCACGCCATCATCCATAGCGCCTCGCGGCCTCCACGAGAAGAGGGTCACGTCTCCTACCGTTCTAATCCTCCTTGGCCGAGGGGAAGGCAGTATGCGTAAGGAGTTGGTGGAGGGGGGCCAGGGGCGATGCCTGCGACGAGGCGAGAGAACCATTCCGACCTGCCGAGGGCGTTCGGAGTGCAAACGCACATACGAACGAGTGCCACTGCTGACGGTCACGAGCGTCGGTAGTCCAAGCGCGGACGTCGGCGGGTGAAGACGAGCGCGTGGCCAAGGGGGAGGGGAGGGCAGTGCCCGCGATGATTATGTGAAATGAACCCGTCTCATACCGTCATCTCTACTCCTCACTCGCCTGTTTGCTCGCCTTTTGGGCTCAGGTATTGGCTTAGATCAGGACGCTGATCGCACAGGAGGAAAAGATCCCTATCTTTCCCTCCTTCCTCTACCTACGGATCAGGGGTTCTGTACCTTTGTACTCTAACCCCATACACAGATTAGCTTGTGGATCGCAGCGTAGCGGCGGCCCGGTGGGGCCAAACGGGCCAACACGAGCGGGGAGACGCCGTGCGCGCGCACCTGTTGGGGCCGCAGGTGGAGCTCCCCGCAGGGCACCGTACGGTCCGCGTGGGGGGCGTGCCGAGATGGGCGGGGCGGCGTCTGGGGGGGAGTGGGGGGGGGGGAGAAAGTGGAAGGCGGAGCGGAACAGGGCTACTGCAATCCAAAACTTTGGTCCCTAAGTGGCAGCGCCGTGCTGCCTGCTGAACGGACATGGAAGGGCATTCGCATTGCCGCACTGGGCAACCACCTGCGATCTTTGGAGTGAAGAAGACTGGACGCGTGGCGCAGCAGAGAGGGAACGCGGAGCCAGCAACACAAGCAATACAAGCAAAGAGCCGAACACGATTCTGCACGTTGTCTGCAACGTCTGCGGGCCACAGCAGTGAGCAGGGCAAAGAACAACACCGATATTGCACGCACTGCACGTGGCTTCCGCTCAGACCGAGGTTCCCGACATTGGTGAGTGGATCCCGCTAGGGGGTGACAGGTGTGCAGGTCTCTGTCACAATAGTCTCTGGGAAAGAGCCCATGACTTTGACCAGCGTGCCATGCACTCGAGACGATCATTTCATCCTCTGCCTCGTCCCCTTCCTGCTCGGCGTCGGGCCACGTGTTGGGGCACGAGGGCCGTGCTGCATGTCGGGCCACCGGCGGGTCAAGTGACCGATCAGCGTGCCCCCGCGGACCCCTCCACAGGAGCCAGTCCGACGAGGAG